ACATTATTTTGTGGTTTGCTTTACTTAATAAACGTATCTTGGAGATCTTTACATGTCCAGTACATACAGATCTAACTCACTCTTTAAAAGTATTTAATTGTATTGATACACCATATTTCTTTAAACTGCTGAACCATGGGAGTTGGTTGCAATTTTTTTGCTATGATAAGCATGTACTTCCTTATATACACATCCATGCACTTTTGTGTATTTTGTTTTTTTTTTTTAGATTTTATTTGTCAGAGAGAGCCCAAGCAGGGGGATCAGAAGGCAGAGGGAGAATCAGGGTCCCTACTGAGCAGGGAGCCCGATGCAGGGCTCGATCCCAGGACCCTGAGCTGAGGCAGTTGCTTAAGTGACTGAGCCACCTGGGCATCCTATTTTTGTCTATTTCTACTGCAGAAATTCCTAGCAGTGGAATTGCTATGTCAAAGTCATGAGTCTTTTTTTTTTTTAAAGATTTTATTTACTTGACAGAGCACAGTCAGGGGGAGCGGCAGGCAGAGGGAGAAGCAGGCTTCCTGCTGAGCAGGGAGCCCAATGCGGGGCTCAATCCCAGGACCCCGGGATCACGCCCTGAACCAGAGGCAGATGCTTAACCGACTGAGCCACCCAGGCGCCCCAGTCACGAGTCTTTTAATTATATACTGCCAAACTACTCCAAAGAGGTTGTACATATTTATCCTTATGCAAACCATGTATGAGACTGTCCTAAATCAGCTCTCTTTCTCTGCCATCTCAGCTGGAAGAACGACTGGAGGAATGGTTGGGGAAGACATTGCCTGGCAGTGACTGGACACCCAATGCCCGGTTCATTATTCGTTCTTGGCTTCGGGATGGCCTCAAGCCACGCTGCATAACCCGAGATCTCAAATGGGGAACCCCTGTGCCCTTAGAAGGCTTTGAGGACAAGGTAAAACCCTATGCTTTATTCATACGTCATATTATTCTGCCTTTGGGTTGAGACCCTGAGCTAATAGAATAGACTCTTGATTATGTCTTGCTTCATTTGGAGGCTGGGTTGGTGAGGTTCTCCCAGTGTTCCTTCATCCTAGTCTGTCTCCTTCCTCCTGGCCCTCCAGGTATTTTATGTCTGGTTTGATGCCACCATTGGCTACTTGTCCATCACAGCCAACTACACAGACCAGTGGGAGAGATGGTGGAAGAACCCAGAACAAGTGAGCAGTTCTTGGTTAGCCTTCCTGTTGGGAGGGTGCATGCATTGGGATGGTTAGGATTGGGTATCTGATCTTCCTTGGGCCTTTGAAGAAGATCTCAGGACCTTTGTTTCCCAACTGTATTCTGTAGGTGAACCTGTATCAGTTCATGGCCAAAGACAATGTTCCCTTCCACGGCTTAGTTTTTCCTTGTTCAGCTTTAGGAGCTGAGGACAACTATACCTTGGTCAACCACCTCATTGCTACAGGTACCCTGGAAGACTGAAGATGGGGAAGTTCCTAGGGAAAGAGGGCTGAGGCAGTATTTGGAAGAAGATCCTGGAGAGGTGCTAGATCTTGAGTTAGGAGTTGAAATGAAATAGGAAGTAATTAGAACATGAGAACTCAACCCAGAAGAAGGGAACAAGAGCCTAAGAAAGCAAAAGCCTGAAGCTAAAATTTTGTAATGGGTAGAAGCAAAGGGCAAAAAGGCTAAAATGGAGAGGAAGAAATCCCCAAATTCTTTTTTTTTTTTTTTTTAAAGATTTTATTTATTTATTTGAGAGAGAGAGAGAGAGAGCACAAGCAGGGGAGTGGCAGGCAGAGGCAGAGGGAGAAGCAGGCTCCCCGCAGAGCAGGGGGAGCCCGATGTGGGACTCGATCCCAGGACCCCGGGATCATGACCTGAGCTGAAGGCAGTCGCTTAACCAACTGAGCCACCCAGGCGCCCAGAAATCCCCAAATTCTTTGCAGGCCCGCTACTCAAGGAGAAGTGTTGCTGGACACCCATAGTTGAGGTTGAGGGAGAGGAAGAGTTAGTGGGTCAGAGAGGGAAATGTGTGATTTGAGCACATGATTCTCATTCTACTTCTCTGTCCAGAGTACCTGAATTATGAGGATGGGAAATTCTCCAAGAGCCGGGGCGTGGGAGTGTTTGGTGACATGGCCCAGGACACAGGGATCCCTGCTGACATCTGGCGCTTCTATCTGCTCTACATTCGGCCTGAGGGCCAGGACAGTGCCTTCTCCTGGACAGACATGTTGCTCAAGAATAATTCGGAATTGCTTAACAATCTGGGCAACTTCATCAACAGGTGGGACTTGGGCAGGTGGTCAGGGTTGGCAGATGAGCTGGGGGCGGGGCGGGCTGGAGGCTAGCTCTGCTCCACTAGGTGGGAGATGGAAGAGACGGGGGCGCCAAGAAGGCAGGAATGAGCAGGAGCTGTGACGGATAGGGAGGACAATGTGGAAAGTGGATTTCTATCAATTGGTACCTGATTCTAGAACATAGTAGGATATGTTTGCTTGGGTGAAGTCAGTTGTACAGGTGTGTTTTAGCAAAGTTGGTCACAAAATGAATTTTTGCAAATTGGTTTCTTATTAATGTTCTTTATAGAATTGGAAATGTATTCTCTCGTAGCAAAAAAGTTACTTGCAGACCATTAGACAAGTTTGGCTGAAGAAAGGGATTATTTTAGTGTAGGGGTAGGAGACGTTTACTGTACTTGGGGGAGTTTTTGTTACTTTAGACTCGCACTCCATTACTGATCTCCGTCTCAGCTCTTCTGCAGTCTAAAGAAGTATACTCCGTGGCTCCCCAACCCCACCCTTTCAGATTTGGTTGTCAGCCGCATTTCACAGATTGTCTCTATTAGAGTACTGGATAGCAAGTTACATATATTACGACTTGATCGTTCTTTATATTGATTTCTTAAAAATAAAATGGACGTTGCCTAACTTTATCAGGTTTCTTATTCTTAGGGGAGAGAGAGAGAATTTGTTAAGCTTTGCCTTCTAGCTTGAGGGAGCCAGGAGGTGTCGGTTCTGAGAGAAAGGAGAATTAGGAGAGTCAGGCCAAATTTCTAGAAGGAGACTGGGCAATAATTCCTCTTTTCTCTTCCCTCTCTTTCCTTACTACCATCAAGAGCTGGGATGTTTGTGTCTAAGTTTTTTGGGGGTTACGTGCCTGAGATGGTGCTTACTTCTGATGATCGGCGCCTGCTGGCCCATGTCACCCTGGAACTCCAGCACTATCACCAGCTGCTGGAGAAGGTTCGGTAAGCAATCTCGCACCCGGGTCTCATCTCAGTGATCTCTGCTGGCATGTTGAGAACCCCATACTGGTCCCTCTGGGACTTTACACTTTGGCCCACCCCCTCCCTTCCCAGGATCCGGGAGGCCCTACGCAGTATTCTCACCATCTCTCGCCATGGCAACCAGTACATTCAGGTGAATGAGCCTTGGAAGCGGATTAAAGGCAGCGAGGCTGACAGGTAAGTTTGGCTACAGGAATAAAGTGGCGGTGGGCCGTGTCCTCCTGGAAAGTCTGACGGTCTCTTCTTCCCCAGGCAGCGGGCCGGGACAGTGACAGGCCTGGCAGTGAATATCGCTGCCTTGCTGTCCGTCATGCTGCAGCCTTACATGCCCACGGTCAGCGCCACCATCCAGGCCCAGTTGCAGCTGCCACCTCTGGCTTGCAGTGTCCTGCTCACAAACTTCCTGTGCACCTTACCAGCCGGACACCAGATTGGCACGGTAGGTCTGAGGGCTGGACGGGCCGGCCTCTGAGCATCCCTGCCCTTGCTGTGCAGCCTTTGGGGTGAGGTCAGAGAACTTGGACATAGGACTCTCACGGCTGTCCTCTGAACCCCTACCCCACTCCTCCCCACTGTGCGCTTAGGCTTGTTTCTGATAGGAAGTCCTTGGTATTCGCTCACAAGCTCAGTGTCATCTAGCCCATATGCCATCATCACTCTTCATCCCAGAACCCAAGACCTGGCATGTAAAACTAACTGGTCTAGGGTAGACGTTGGAAGAAACACCACGGTCCCCTGGTCTCCATAATGCTGACAGGCAGTGAGCAGGGAGAATACAGGATAGCCATTTCCTCTTTGACACAAGAGGATAAAGTAAGTTCACCTCTGTAGCCTTGTGTTAGCCTAGCATCCTTAAAATAGTTAAATAGTCTTGGACCTTATTAATACTTTGGCCTTTCAGAGTGAGTGCCAGTGCTTTATCTGGATTCTTGACTGAAATTGGCAGTACATTTGTCTCTTCTAAAACATGTAGAGTTCCTGAATGTCAGTGACTGGGGATAGAGGGGCCCTCTGCACAGTCTGGCAGGGTTTCTCCCTCGTCAGGGCATGATTATGGAATTCTTTCTTCACAGGTCAGTCCCTTATTCCAAAAACTGGAAAATGACCAGATTGAAAGTTTGAGGCAGCGCTTTGGTGGGGACCAGGTGAGAAAGCTAGACTGTGCTGTCACCCAGCAAGAGCCACAGTGTCCTCTCCTCGGTGTCCTAAGTAGTTCTCACTCAGTACTCTCTCCATCTTCCGGTCCTGCTCCTTCCTTCGAGTTGTTCTTCCCTGTCCTAGCAGCAGGAGCCCTTGGAGTGAAAGGTCATCACCGTCCCCCGAGCTGTGAGGTGACACTCGGGGCCGGGGGCATATTAACAGAGCAGGTGGTAACTCTGTTGTCCTTCTCCAGGCCAGAGCACCCCCCACACCAGCAGTTGTAGGGGCTGTGGCAGCAGCCGCCCCACAGCAGGTACAAGTGCTGATGGACGAGGTGACAAAACAGGTACGCAGCGGAAGCCCCGGGGGAGAGCGGAAAAGCCGAATCTCAAATAGGCTCTTTCTGGTCTCACTGCTGTTCTTCCCCCACCTGCTCTGCTCTTAGGGCAACACTGTCCGAGAACTGAAGGCGCAAAAGGCAGACAAGAACCAGGTTGCCGCCGAGGTGGCTAAGCTCTTGGATCTGAAGAAACAGTTGGCTCTAGCTGAGGGGAAACCCCTTGAAACCCCTAAAGGCAAGAAGAAAAAGTGAAAGTGAGAAACTGGCTCATAGAAAGTGACTTTAATGGATATGACAGTAATAAATAAATGTACAATCTCTATATACATGCTGAGACCCTTTCCTGTTGTCTACCCCGAGCTTCCCCCACTCCTGACTAGATGGGGTTGAGGGTCCCATCACTGGCACTGGAGGAGATGCTCGGCAGCCACTTTTGTGAACGGGAGGTAGTGGCCCAAGGGGGAAGCGATGGTCCCAACTGTTCATGCTTGGTGCAGATTAACCATTCGGTCAATGAGAGCTCGGCGAGTCGCCTCTACTTCCCTGGTCAGGCGCTCGATTTCCTGCTTGAGCCGTTCATTCTCTTCAGCTAGCTGTGCCACTTTCCTCTCATTCTCTTGTTCTTTCTCCTTCATGCGTTGCTTTCCAGCCCCAGCTGGGGACTGGCCACTCTGTTTCCGTTTCCTGGGTCTTCTGTGGTCTTCCTCCTCTTCCTCCTGAGCCAGGGAGCTCTGACTGGAATCTGGAGAGCAAGGGCTCTGGGAGGTGTTCGTGACCTCTGCTGGTCCTGGCTCCTCAGTCAGCCAACCCAGAGAGGCAGGGTCAAGAGTGGTGAAGGTTTTTGATTCTTCCTTCAAGGGAATGAGGAAAGGTAGGGTGGATATTAGTCGAGAAGGGAAGGGCAGTTACCCCCCCACCCCAGCTTTAGGCATAGCATTCTCACCTCCTTGTTTCCAGGAGGTGAAACATAGGTACCCCCATTTTCATCTGAGGACAGCACCTCTTGCAGGTCCTCATACCAGGCTTCCAGCTCCCAGCTGGACAGTGTCCCGAAGGAAAAAGGCAATGACTCAGCTGCCATGTCTGCAGTTGGATCAGGCTCTGGAAAAGGACATACTCAGGATGGGGGGTCAGGGGTGGGAGCGGAACAACTCCACAAAGCAGTCAGATCATCTATACAGGTTGGCAAACTGGCCTGGTACCTGTTTGCAGATAAAGTTTTATTGGAACATAACTACGTTCGTTTATTTACATACTGTTTACGGCTGCTTTCATGCTGTAAGAGTGGAGACCTCAGCATCCAAAATATTTACTGTTTGGCCCTTTAAAATGTATCAATTGGTCTATACTAATCTTCCCTCTTTGCTGCTTTCGCCTGGCATTTGAAGAAGCATGGGTCTAGAATATACATTCTTAAGGGATCCTGGTAAAAGTCCTCAGCCTCTCTTGAGGAACTCTGTTGGTAGTTTCCAGGGGGCAATTATCAGACCATCTTGTGTTCCTTTCCCCTCTGTGTGGGCAGGCCTTTGGGTGAGTCTAACCTTGATGGGGACTGAGGTCTGGTAAGACCAACCAATTACCTTTGTTGGGGCTGACTGCTCACTCATCCAGCTTTCAATTAGGACATGCTCTAAGAATAGTGATTTGGTCACCCAGTTAGGGGCAGGCCAGGAAGATGGATGTGGCCTGTCAGGAAAGGCTGCTCAAATTCAAACCCTCCTCTCCTGTCTTCTCTAGGTGTTTTCATAACTTATTAGGACCCCAGTACAAGGACCCTAAGCAGCATCTCGGAACTGGTTTTGGGAAAGGGATGGTGAAGTTTACCTGCTCTCAGGTGTGGTGATGTATGAAGATACACTTCCTTCTGGAACACTGTGGGGATCAAAGATAGATGTTATCCATTTTTGGAAGGGAGGCAGGCAGCTCCTTTTATCTCCAGCCTTCTGTTGGTCCTTTCCTCATTTCCTGTCTTATAGGGTGTGGACAGTCAGTGGTCCTTGCAGCCATTTCCAAGGACAGAGGAGAGCCTGACCTTTATTTATTTATTTATTTTTTAAAGATTTTATTTATTTGACAGACACAGAGAGGGAACACAAGCAGGGGAAGTGGGAGTGGGAGAAGCAGGCTTCCCGCTGAGCAGGGAGCCCGATGCGGGGCTCGATCCCAGGGCCCTGGGATCATGACCTGAGCCGAAGTCAGATGCTTAATGAACGAACCACCCAGGCGCCCCCTGACCCTTTATTTTTAGTTGCTGACATTTGTGGTCCCAATTACATAATTGAAAAGTCATGGCCAACTCCACTTTCTCTAAATTCAAGGTAGGCCTCAAACCTGCCAGGGTAAGGACTGGACTACAGGGAAGGCAACAAATCAAGTGGTATTTTCCTAATTCCATTCACACACTGACATCCTCTAAATGCACATTTCCAGTCTTGATCTCTCCTGGGACCTCCAACTGGGTTATCTAATTGCTTACTAGGATCACCTTCTGGATGTCTAAAAGGCATCTCAGACTTCATATGTCCAAAGACAAATTCTGCTCATCTTCCCCTTCCCTGGTCTTCCCCATCTCAGTAAATGGCAACTCTACTTGCTTAAGCCAAAACCCTTAGTATTGTCCTGATTCCTCTCTCACACCCCACAATTCAAACCACCAGCTAAATTTTTAAACTCATTCTTCAAAAACCCAGTTGCATTGTTTTCAGTCTAGATCAAGTTACTACCCTCTCTGTTGGATTACCCAGTTTCTGCTCTTGCCACCCCTCCCCAAGTCTGTTCACAACAGCCAGAGTGAGCCTTTAAAAACTTAAGTCAGGTCCTGTCATTCTGTTCAAAACCGTTCAATGACTTCCAATTTCACAAATATTAAAGGCTAAGGTCCTTAAAATGGCTTAGCAGGCCTCGCACAATCTACTCCTTTCCTGCCCTGGATTTCTCATTGACCACTCTCCCTCTTAAGTCCAGCCAGCTGGCCTCCTGTTTCCATGCACCCACCTTAGGACCTCTGTTCTTGTTCCTTCTCCTGCAAAGCTCTTCTTTCCACATATCTGTAGGGCTTACTCCCTTGCCTCTTTCTAGATCTCTCATTTAAATGTCACCTCAGTGAAAGAATCCCTAGCCACCCAGGGTAAAACTGTAACCCCCACCCTGAGCATTCGCTACCCTTCCATGCTTTGCTTTTCTCCACGGCACTTTTGTATTTGTTCACATGCACCTTTTCCCACTGAAATGTAAGCTCTGTGAGAGCAGAGATTTTCTTGTTCATGGATGTATCCTGGGCCTAAAATGCATGGCACATAGTAAGTGCGTGATAAGTAATTTGTTAGGAACGAATGGGTAAGTTCTCACCAGTCTCTTACAGGGAAGGGAGGAGGAAGCCCAGAGGCAGAGCAGCAGCTGCCTATCCCAGGGGACTGGAGATGCAATATCGCCCAGAGTGTTTCTCTTCAGGGCTGTCCTCCCTGGGGAACCCTCCTTGCCTTCCAGTGGGTGGGACGCTGCTTTCATCAGCAGTGGCGCCCCAGGCCAGAGGGCTGCAGAGCCAAACAGGGGGCTGGCCTGATGCAATGGTTACACACACACAGATAATTAGTTGGAGACAGGACAGGGGCAAAGAGGCAGGGACCTACCTCAGGGAAAGGACCATACACTGGGGAGACCCCAAATGGCTTCCCACACTTAAGAGATCCAGGATGCTCTCTTGTACAGGAGGCCCAGGGACCTCTGGGGGAATGGGAAAACCCATCTCCGCTCCCCAGCCATTGGCACCCCTCCTCCCAAAGTCTTGAGTCAGTCTCCTTAAGGTTCTCTTCTCCGTTAGGGTGTGGAATGGCTGTCCTGTGGAGGATCCAGGAGCCCCAGCTACCGACGTGGCCACTCTGGCCCTGAGACGCTGGGGCTGAGACAGGATTGGGGGTGGGGTAGGGGTAGTGGCGTCCGCTGATGGTGAAGCGGCGGCAGTGGCGTGAGCCACGGTCCCCTAGGCGTCTCGGCGTGGGGGAGTGTCCTGCTGCCCCGCCTCCCACCGGACAGGCCCAACGAGGCGGCCTGGGGTCAGAAACGGAAGAGAATAAATCTCCCGAGGGCATCCGGACCCCCTGGCCCAACGGCAAAGAGCCAGGCCCATGCTCCGGGCAGGGATGGGGTGACGTTATCGTCCGAAGGAAGAGAGGCCTGTGAGCACCACTCCTGAATAAACGATACTCCCCATCCCTCCCTCGGACTGTCACTGACTTTATCGGGGAAGGGGTGGGGCCACATGCTAAAAAGCAGATGCCCTAACTTTGAGGGGACAACCAGTGTTCCCGAGGATAGGAGGGTAAAAAGTAGATGGGGGATCAGTACTCGCCTCTCTCCTCAGGTTCCGGCTCTGATTTTGGTTCTGTGGCTGCCACCCGCTCATCTTCAACATGATATGCTCTGGGTCTTAGACTCAAGCCTCTGACCTCGGTAGCGCGGAGCACTGATCTTTTAATAAGGCCTTGCCCTCCTCTCGGGGGCGGGCCCAGAAGCTTACCAATCAGGATGCGGCACGCCGGCTCTGGCCCCGCCTCATCCCTTACATCCACCACTCAGAAGCTCTCGCGGCACCGCCCCCATCGCTCCCTCCCGCTTGGAGGTAGACGTTGTGTTGGACCCGGAAGTGGCTTTGGGTCACGAGGCTTCGCGGAGGAGGTGAGTGAGTCATGCGCGCGCGCGGAGGGGAGAGCTGGAGGGGGAGGGGAGGAAAGGGGGGCGGGGATGATGCAATGTTTGGCAACCGGTGTCTCCGCGCGCACGCGCAGGGGACTACTAGGGCGGTGGGAGGTGCGGGGGGGGTGGTGGCGGAGAGGAGAGGAGAGGGCGGGGCGCCAGCGCCAGGCTCCCAACGGCCCCAACGGCTATCAACCGTGGCTGCCCCTAGGCTGCCTGCGAAGCCTCGGTGCAGCTTGTCTTCCTCAGGAGCTCTTATTTCGCCTACCTGGCATTAGCCCCCGTTGCACCTTCTCCATAAGGGACTCCCATTTTACTTGGTTCCCTCCCAATTAATGGGCACAAGGTCTTTTAAACCAATCTCTTTTGAAAGTTTGCATCCAGCCACAGGACTGCCTAACGTCTTCTCGAGTATTCTTAAAAAGATCTTCTCTTTTAGCTCCCCTAATTCCCCCAGAAGGGGCCGAGGAACTTGAATTCTTTTGATGGTCATTTTCAGCTCCTCGCAGGAAAGCACCCTAAACTTTTATCTTGGTGAAGTTTCTGATGAGCCCTCAGCATTTCAGAATTCATGTCCTTTGCCCAGTGGACGCGATTCGCCCTGTTTCCCCACTCATCATTGCCCCCCACGGTGCTCTGGTGCTCTTCACCAAAAGATCAAGACCCGCCCTTTTCGCTGTACCGGACCGCAAGTCCTGTGACTCCCTGCTGTGAGGAGCCGTGCACAAGCCTCCTGCCTCCTAGGTGCTTGGGCGACAGTAGAACCTCGTTGCCTGGGACACTGGGTGCACTTGAGCGCACAACTGACGTGGACGGGTTGTCAGGAGCCCAGATTCTAGCCTCAACTGTCCCTCACTTGCCCAGGGACCCTAGGCCAGCCACCTAATCTCTCTGTGCCTCAACTGTTCTTGTTTGTAAATAAAAGATAAGGAGTTGTGAAGATAAAATGAGAGAACTATAACTTGGAGGCAGCTTAAACAAAAGTGAAAAGCACCACTTAAAATGCAAAGTATTTTTCTTGTGCCATTAGGTAGAAAAAAGATGCCATGTGGCGGCCAACCTTATATATACTGTCATACCCTCGTGGGGGCAGCCAGAGTTAAGGAGAATCTGTCACAAGGTCGGTTGTGGCTGGAAGGCAGGTTTAGGTGGTGGTGTGACAGTGACAGGTCCTTGGCCAGGCCTGCTCCGTTGCTCCAGACTTCCATTTCCCCTTCTGTAAATGGGGGTGGGGGGTGGGTTGGACCAGATGGTCTCTCCTGGCCCAAAGACTTGACCAGGTTGTCAGTGACAGGCAAAGGTCATGTGACTTGACAGGCTGAGGTCGTGTTGTGACATGTTGACCTGGGGAGGCGGGTCAAGTCCCAGCACACTACCCGGGAAGCCTTTGGGGCGGGGCAGGGCAAGTCGCGACTTTCATCTTTTGGGGCCGGCCCCTCCCGGACCTGGCATTCCTGGCTCCCCCAACAGATTGTGGCTTTGGAAGGGGCCCCTCCCCGGGGAGGGCTGGGATTGGCCACCAGTGGCCTGGGAAGAGGCTCAGATCCTTCCGCGGAGGGCGGGGGGGCCGCGTGGGGTGTTTGTTCTCTTGGGGATTAATGGGGGGTTGTGGGGGAGGGGTAGGCGCGCTCCCGCATGCGCACTGCGGTCCCTCCTGTTGGCTCGTCGTTGTCCGCTGGGCGGGGGCCCGGCCCCGCCCCTCTCCCGTCCGGGCAGCGGCGGCGGCGGCGGCGGCTGCGGCGGTGGCGGCGGCAGCGACGGCGGCGGCGGCAGCAGCCTGCGCGGTGCCTTCTGGGAACGGAATCCCCAGGGCTGCCCCTGGCCCCCATGGCGCATGCGCGGGAGGCCGCTCGGTGATCCGCGGCGGCGGCGGCGGCGCTTCCTGCTAGGACCGGCCGGGGCCGTACCGGAGGCTCGGGCTACACCGACCCTCCTCCCACTCCCTCCCACTCACCCTCTGGGCCGCGACTGCGCAGGGCGGGGCCGGCCGAACCATGGGCCGCGGTGAGTGCAGGGCCCGGCCCCCCCACCCCGCCCCTCCCCCTCCCCTCCCCTCCCCTCCCCTCCAGTCCCTACCCTCTGCCCCCTCCGCGTCCTCTCGGCCCCTTTCCCTGGCCCCATCCCCACTCCCCCGCCCTCACCTGCCCCCACCGTTTCTCCCTCTCACTGCTTGACTTTTGCCTTCTTCACCTCCTTCCCCTCAGTGCTTCGCCCACCCTCCGCCCGCCCTCTCCCCAAGTTCCTTCCTACTTCGTGCGCCTTCCCCTCCTCCCCAGGCTGAGGGAAGCAGGCTGGGTGACAGGGCGCCTTGTTATGAGAGGGAAAGTTTAGAAGCCGCCAGTGTGGGGTGGGAGCGATGGTGAGATTGGAGAGGATACTTGCAGGTTTGGAGGGTGGGGGGGCGTCCCCACATATCAGAGGAGAATCCCTCTTGGAGCCAATTTGAAGCCAGTGGGGTAGGAGGTGCTGAATCCCCGTGCCTGAGGCTTGGGGGAAAATCAAGAGCTTCTCAGGATTCTGGGAGAAGACAGAGCTAGGAGTCCAACCTTTCTTAAGAAGATCCAAATCAACCAGATCAGTGATTGTCTAATGGAGCAGGCATGGGGGGGTTCTGTTGGTACCACCCCAGCGGACAGTTGGGCAATTGCCTGGTGACCTGTGGGGCAATCTGTACTTTTTATATGATCTTCCTGGGGGTAGGGAACAGCAGGGGGCCAGACTCTCTGGGAAACTTCCTAGTGGCCTGGCATTATGGGAATTTGCCCATACTCCAGGATGAAGTCTTCTGTCTCTGATGGGACAAAGGGGCCTTGCCCTTTATGTCTAGGGATTGGGCTCTGATTCCTTGGTCCCTGGGAGTTGAGGCTTTGATCCTCTGGTTCCTAGGGCCTGTACATGGAAAGGATGATTGTGGACTCAGCCAGCAGATCCCTGAGATCTGTGTGTGCACTTACCTGTAGGGTTAAGGATCTTTCCCTTGAGAGTGTCCTGGGGTTTGGTGCTTTTCTGAGTTGGGCAGATTTCCGACAGTCCCTTCTCTCTCCTGTGTTGCAGGTGTGGGCTAAGCCGGAGGCCCCGGCTTTAGACTGGACCCCACAATGTTTGCAGAGATGTTCAGGTAGCCACGGCGGGATGGCAGAGAGTTCTTCATTTTCTCTCCCAGCTCTCAGGGTTTCTCCATGCCCCTGAGTTCTTTTGGGTCTCCCCACAATCTTTGCCTTCCTGGAATGCTCCCTCAGGTACCCAGTGCAGTTTAATCCTCCTAATGCCCACATGGATGTCTGTGTTATCAGGCACGTGGGAGCTGATTACACACAATGAATGGGGGCAATGAGAGCAGTGGAGCAGACAGAGCTGGGGGCCCTGTGGCCACATCTGTCCCCATCGGCTGGCAGCGCTGTGTTCGAGAGGGTGCTGTGCTCTATATCAGGTATGGATCCTCAGGGTTCCCAGAGTTCTGTCCCCAGCCGTTCAGTGCCTGAGTTTTCTCTCCCACCTCTCCTCTCAGCGCCCAGATCTCTGATAGCCTATTGCTCTCCTCTGTTCTTCCTTCCTCGGCCTTTTTGCTCTCTGTATCTCTGGCCCTTTAAATCTATTCTCCCTCTTTCTCTTTCCACATCCTTTACTCTCTGTCCTTCCTAGGAAGGTCTTTGACTAAGGAACTGTCCTTTAGGCACGTCTCCTGATTCAGTGTCAACTAACTCCGTGCTCTCTGACCCTGTGCTCTCCCAGCCCAAGTGGCACAGAGCTGTCTTCCTTGGAGCAAACCCGGAGCTACCTCCTCAGCGATGGGACCTGCAAGTGCGGTCTGGAGTGTCCACTCAATGTCCCCAAGGTCAGAGTGGTGAGGGGTGCCAGAGAATACAGGGATGAGCCAAGAGACCTAATACAAGTCACTGACCGTGGTAGCGCTTCTCCCAGATGCCACTCTCTCAGGGTCCGTGACTCCCGCCTTACAGGTTTTCAACTTTGACCCTTTGGCCCCGGTGACCCCGGGTGGGGCTGGGGTGGGGCCCGCATCAGAGGAGGACATGACCAAGCTGTGCAACCACCGGCGGAAAGCCGTTGCCATGGCAACTCTGTACCGCAGCATGGAGACCACCTGCTCACACTCTTCTCCTGGTGAGTCTTCTCCACTTTACCGACAACTGAGGAAAACTTAAGGGCCTGGAAGAGGGATGGTGGGAGGAGCTCTATGAGAGGGAGCAAGGACACGGGTGGAGTAGGGAGCTGCTTGAGGAGAGGAAGGCACGGGGAGGTTGGGAGTTTGTGGGAGATGGGATGGAGAAGACAAAAGAAAGTTGTTGGAAGGGGAGCCACAGGCTGACCCTTAATTTCTCATTTATTGCAGGAGAGGGAGCGAGCCCCCAAATGTTCCACACTGTGTCCCCAGGGCCCCCCTCTGCCCGCCCTCCCTGTCGAGTCCCTCCTACAACTCCACTTAATGGGGGACCTGGCTCCCTTCCCCCAGAACCACCCTCAGTTCCACAGGCCTTCCCCCCTCTAGCAGGCCCTGGGGGGCTCTTCCCACCACCAAGGCTTCCTGACCCTGTCCCCTCTGGAGGCAGCAGCAGCCCCTGTTTCCTCCCAAGGGGCAACGCCCCCTCTCCAGCCCCACCCCCTCTGCCCGCTATCAGCCTCAACGCTCCCTCCTACAACTGGGGAGCCGCCCTCCGCTCCAGCCTGGTGCCCCCTGACCTGGGCTCTTCTCCAGCCCCCCATGCCTCCTCCTCACCACCTTCAGACCCTTCTCTCTTCCACTGTAGTGATGCCTTAACGCCCC